TACATATATACATATAATATATATATAGTAATATATAGTATATGCATATATATGTTATATATATATATATATATATATATATATATATATATATATATATATATATATATATATATATATCATATTTATACATATATATATGTATATATTTATTTATATATATATATATATATATATATATATATATATATATATATATATATATATATATATATATATATATGTATATATAACATATGTATGCATATACTATATATTACTATATATATATTATATGTATATATGTATAATATATGTTTATTATATATATATATATATATATATATATATATATATATATATATATATATATATATATATATAAATATAATATGTATATTATATGTTTATTATATACATATATATATATGTTTATTATATACATATATATATATATATATATATATATATATATATATATATATATATATAATAAACATATATTATACATATATACATATAATATATATATAGTAATATATAGTATATGCATATATATGTTATATATATATATATATATATATATATATATATATATATATATATATCATATTTATACATATATATATGTATATATTTATTTATATATATATATATATATATATATATATATATATATATATATATATATATATATATATATATATATATATATATATATATATATATATATATATATATATATATATATATATATATATATATATATGCAACTCAATATTTGATGATGTGAAAAAATAGGCATGTAATCATTCGTATGTCGTTGAACCCAATGATTCTGTTGATAACGACTGTGATGGCACCGTAGATGAAGAAATAGACGACGCGGAAGGTACGAGAAATGTGAACATTTTTCGGAGAATACATAACACACACGTAAAACCCACAATTTAAGACTTCAATGGCTATCAAATTAACACATAGACCTAAACTACATTAAAACTGGAAACATAGAAATACTGACATTTCCATTGAACCACGCCGTCGCATTCTTTTAGTATCCCGTACAAAAGCTAAGAAATAATGTACCATCACCATGTGAGAACAGGCGGATCACAATACAAGGTATAAAACACAGAGGCGTAGCGACCCTTCCCGGCGCCCGGGGACACACTTTCGCTTTGCACCCCCCGCCCCTCAGACTTTTGATTTGCACCCCCTCCCCTTAAACTTTCGATTTCCACCCCCTTCAAACTTTCAATTTCGTTTTTCAACCCATTTTGGCGCCCATAAGATCGGCGCCCGGGGACAAAAGTCCCCCCCCCCCCGCCCCACCTCGCTACGCCTCTGATAAAACACGATTGGGACATGGCACCTCGTACAAACAACATTCATCCATTCATCCCCTTCACGTCTTCAGTATATACATTTACATTAATTATACATTTTAATTACAGTATATACATTTACATTAATTATACATTTTAATTACAGTATATACATTTACATTAATTATACATTTTAATTACAGTATATACATTTACATTAATTATACATTTTAATTACAGTATATACATTTACATTAATTATACATTTTAATTACAGATAATGATGCGGACGGTAGGATAGATGAAGATATAAATGCACATGTTATAGGTAATATTTTAAGCCACCTTTATCAACCTGTAACTAACATTTGAACTCTATCCAAATGTAACTAACATGTTAACTTTATCCACCTGCAACTGTCGTGTCGGCTATATCCACACTAACATGTTAACTTTATCCACCTGCAACTGTCGTGTCGGCTATATCCACACTAACATGTTAACTTTATCCACTTGCAACTGTCGTGTCGGCTATATCCACACTAACATGTTAACTTTATCCACCTGCAAGTGTCATGTCGGCTATATCCACATCTAACTAACCTTTATCCACCTGTAACTAGCATGTTAACTTTAACACCTGCAACTATCATATTGCATGTATCCACCTCTAACTCACCTTTATCCACCTCTAACTCACCTTTATCCACCTGTAACTTACATGTTAACTTTAACGCCTGCAACTACCATACTGCATATATCCACCTCTAACTCACCTTTATCCACCTGTAACTAACATGTTAACTTTAACACATGAAACTATAATATTGCCTGTATCCACCACTAACTAACCTTTATCTACCTGTAACTAACCTTTATCTACCTGTAACTAACATGTCACCTTTATCTACCTGTAACTAACATGTCACCTTTATCTACCTGTAACTAACATGTCACCTTTATCTACCTGTAACTAACATGTCACCTTTATCTACCTGTAACTAACATGTCACCTTTATCTACCTGTAACTAACATGTCACCTTTATCCACCTGTAACTAACATGTCACCTTTATCCACCTGTAACTAACATGTCACCTTTATCCACCTGTAACTAACATGTCCCCTTTATTTACCTGTCTTTGGCAGTCCATGGTGGGTGGAGCGCGTGGGATCCCTGGCATTGTACAGACAATTGTAGCGAGGAGAGGGTTATAAGGTCAAGGTAAGGGTCATTAGGTAATGATGAGTCTTAAGGTCAAGGTGAAATCATAGTGTCGATTTGATGTTATAGGGTCAAGACGAGGCTTCTTAGGGACAGATAAGGGTCATAGTGACACATTCAGGGAATAGGGTCAAGGATAGAGTTATAAGGTCAAGATGAAGGTCGTAGCGCCAATGTGCGAGACACAATATCCAAATAAATAATGAACGAAAAAAAATATGCTATTTGTCATAAAGCCGAAGTGATTATCCTAAAGTCGTAGTAGGGATAAAAGAACAACAATTATAACAGAACATTTGAATCCCCAGAGAATGCAACAACCCGGCACCAACGTTTGGCGGGAAGCCGTGTGACGGTTTGAAGTCTGAGTACGCGACGGCGGTCTGTTACAAGGGGAGGACGTGTCCTTTGGGTGAGAGATGCAGACACATTCATGTACACACACACATATTCATACACACACACATACACTCACATACACACACATACACACACATACATACACACACAAGGGGAGGACGTGCCCTTTGGGTGAGAGATGCAGACACATTCATGTACACACACATACACATACACACACATACACACACATACATATACACACACATACACACACATACACACATACACTCAGATACACACACAAGGGAAGGACGTGCCCTTTGGGTAAGAGATGCAGACACATTCATGTACACACACACACACATATTCATACACACACACATACACACACATACACACACTCAAGGGGAGGACGTGTCCTTTGGGTGAGAGATGCAGACACAATCATGTACACACACATACACACACACATACACACACATACACACACTCAAGGGGAGGACGTGTCCTTTGGGTGAGAGATGCAGACACAATCATGTACACACACATACACACACATACACATACACACACATACACACACAAGGGGAGGACGTGCCCTTTGGATGAGAGATGCAGACGCAATCATGTACACACACACATACATACATACACATACACACAAGGGGAGGACGTGTCCTTTGGGTGAGAGATGCAGACACAATCATGTACACACACACATACATACATACACATACACACAAGGGGAGGACGTGTCCTTTGGGTGAGTGATGCAGACACATTCCTGTACACACACATACATACATACACATACACACATACACTCACATACACACACAAGGGAAGGACGTGTCCTTTGGGTGAGTGATTCAAACACATTCATACACACACACACACAAGTAGACCTGGTCTTTGGGTAAGTGATTCAAACACAATCATACTCACACACACACACACGTAGACATGCCCACAAACACACCTACATACCCCCACACATACATGCCTACATGCACAAATGCACATTGGCACAAGTACACACGCATTTGCATACATGCACGCAAGCATAGCCACAAACACGCACACGTACACACCTACTTACACACACTCATACTCACACACATGCACACATGCACGCACACACATGCTTCCAGATACATGCCCACTTATATATTATATACATTTATACCTCACAAAGACATACATTTAATAATGTATATTCATAATGTGTGAATGTCAATTCTGTCACGGTTCAATAGTCAATCATATTTGGGATCAATAGCTCTTACCTGTGTCTGTTGTGTCTGTCTGGTACCAGATTGCCAGGAAGGCACCTGGGGAATCAACTGCATCAACGTCTGTGGCCACTGTGTCGAGGACTGCCACAAGTTTAACGGTACCTGCAAGGTGTGTCAGCCGGGGTATTTTCACCCACCCACGGGCTGCATGACAGGTAGGTGGGGGGGGGAGCACAACACTTAAGGGATGGTGTGTTTTATTGAAGGTAAGGAATCGTGTGATTTCAACAGGACACGTGGGGGTCCGTGTTTCTTCCAGACTTTGTTCCTGGAGAGGGGGGGGGGCACTTGACATTTTGGGGGGGGGGGCGGTAAACTTTCTTCGGGGGGGGGGGGAGGACACTGTTAAATGTATATATTTTCTATATAAATTCCATTTCGTTTGAAGGGGGGGGGGGGTAGACTTTTTTGAGGGGTCTCTCTCTCTCTCCCCCCCCCACCCTAAGAAGCTCTGTATGGGCTGGTATGTTGTATTAAAGGAAGGGAATCGTGTGATTTTTAACCAATAAGGGATCGTGTGAGCAGTACAGGTAGGTGAACGTGCAATTTCAACAGGTAAATTCTCCTTAAGATACAGCTTCCCATTGGGCAGATGAAGTAGAGTTCATTTGAAGAGGTGTGGTTAGTGCTTTGCCCACCTGCATTTACTTTCCCTAACATGAGCTAGGTATTCATCAGAGTTAGATATTCGTCAGAGTTAGGTGGACTCAGGGACGTTCTACTGACTTGGGCCCGGATTTGAACTCGAGTCTTACCAGTTATCCTAACGCTCTACCGCTTAGGCCACTCGTCGCATGATTTCATCAGGTTGGGGATTTTATTTTTTACAAAAATGAGATCATGTAAGTACAACAGGAAGGGGAGCGTGTATCTGTTATAGAAGACAAAACCGATATTAACTTATCTCAAAGGAAAGTATAGCTATTTGTATTAACGATAAGAGACATGTCTGAAAATAAAATAATCAAATACCATATATATATATATATATATATATATATATATATATATATATATATATATATATGCATATATAACAATATATTAATAAAAAATGTTCAAATCCAAGATTGTATAAAACGCACATAGCCAACAGATTGTATTGTTTTTACCCCATCTCCCAGCATGCCCATTGAACAGATACGGAGATGAGTGTTCGGGTGACTGTATTTTCAAATGTGGCGAAGACTGTATTGATAGAGCTACTGGGAAGTGTCCGGGTAAGTGTTTCTTTTTTTAAAGTCATGACTGCAAAGTCATGACGTTTTATGTAGCTTTTTTTATTAAGACTTACCTTTTTTGGAGTCATGTATGCAAACTCAAAACATTTTAAGTAACTTTTTTAATATTAATTACATTTTCTTAAGTCTTATCTGCAAAGTCATGAGGTGTTATGTAGCGTTTTTAATACGACCTGACTTTTCTAAAGTCATTTTCGCAAATTATGACTTTTATTTAGCGGTTTTTTTTTTTAAATTACATTCAAGTCAAGTGTGTAAAGTAATATTTTATGCAACATTTGTTGCGACCTTTCTTTTCAGTCATGTCTGCAAATGCTTGCCTTGTATATATATAATTTTTAATTTTGAATTACCTTTTCTGGAGTCTTGACTGCAAAGTCATAAAATTGTATTTGGCATTTTTTTTTATTACACCTTGCCTACTCTGAAGTCATTTGTGCAGTCTTGTCTTTTATTTTCCTTTCTTGTCAGCGCTATCATGACTTTTATTTCACATACGTTTTTAAAATATTTGTTCCGTTTAAACAAGTCATGCTAATAAAGTAAACGCTAGCATTTATATGTCAGCCTTGCTTGTCGCATAATGTTTAAGTAAACATTCATTTTCTTAAATACGTAAATCTAATTAACCAGAAGTAATTTTTAATGAGTTAGTTGACTTAACTAACCGTTGTTTTGATATATCCAAACATTGCATTTTGGTCCGCATCACTTAATCATATTATGTAGCATACAAAACCTTTATTATTATTTTTAAACAGTGTGCCGTATAGTTTTATAGAGATAACATTTTTTTTTTGTTTTCTTCTGCAGAAGGGAACCTGAAATATCTTCCACTGATTCTGTTGGCTGGATTCGTTCCCTTGCTTCTGATTTTAGTCCTAAGGTTGTGCTTAATTTGTTTATACATAAAGTAATGTTAGGGGAGGGTTGGGAAATGAGAGAAAGATAACGTTTTTTGAAGTGATGGGTAGGCACATAAATAGGCCTATTTTCTGAAATATTTGTTTCTATATAATTATAAAAGGTGAGCTTTCAGTAATAGAATTTTCAATACATATTGTTTCCTCTAAAACCAGACTCTACTTAATTCAATTTTTAAAAAGAAGTTCACAACAAGATTTCAAGCTTTAATTTCCATTATATTTTTATATTAGGCACAAAGTGAAATGGAATTGTTGTGTGATAATAATGAGTAATGTAGCCAAGTATTTTTGTTAACAATTTATCTTGGTGGGTTTCAAATACAACTCTATGAAAATATCGATAAAATTAAAATGTGGAGTTCGAACAGTTTGGATCTGGGAAAGCGATATATATATATATATATATATATATATATATATATATATATATATATATATATATATATATATATATATATATATATATATATATATATATATATATTTATATATATATATATATATAATATATATATATATATATATATATATATATATATATATATATATATATATATATATATATATATGTGTGTGTGTATCTCTCTCTCTCTATATATATATATATAATATAAAATAGGCCTATATATATATATATATATATATTTGTATATATATATATATATATATATATATATATATATATATATATAAATATATATATATAAAGAGTCGTAAATGATATATAACAAATGTGTATTAGGATTAAAGTTTCGTATAAAACAATGCTATAGAACATATTTTGGTTTCCCCTAAACCCTTAACCTTGCGTGTTTGAATTCCTCAGAAAAAAAGAACGCGTGCACAGCCTTGAGGAAGGTTCCCTGTCCTTCTACCTGGCCGACGTTCTACAGTTGACCAAGAAGCAGAAGTCCACGTCTGAGACGGTCACCGAGACGGCGCTGATGGAACCCATCTTCAAGAAGGACACGCCCAGCGATGACCTGAGCAAGCAGACGACACCGACTTCCATCACGGCGTCGTCGTTGTTGAAGGATTGACGTCATACGTGGGGGAGGGGGGTTTGGTGTGACGCTTTGAAGGGGTGACTGGTCACGTGATTAATGTCACGTTTCGTGACTCATGAGGTGTGACAGATCACGGTTCATGTACTGTGAAGGGTCGTGACATATAGGGGGGGGGGGTGTGACTGTAATAACAAAACGATGGAGTTGTGTTTTGAATTTGGAATGACGCGTTAGGGAAGAATTGAAAATGGGATTAAGGCTAAATATTACAATTTGTGATGTATCGGAAATATGATGTAATACTGTGTCAAACGCGTATCAAAGAACTAAAATAATGTTACCAGGGGCATGTTTTTCAATGAGAAACAAAACAAAGACTTGTTAAACGCTACGTCAATTTAATTATATTGACAAATGATTGTACTCTAGATATCTAAAGTGCTTTGGTGACGTATGGCATGGGCGTGCACTGTAATTTAGTATTTAAACAAATCCCCAGAAAAACTGAAGCTTTGCAGCTGAAAGCAGATTCTAAAAGAAGATTAAAGATTTCAATGTTCACATTCAACTCACAAGTAATTAATAACCATAAACAAATTTTATATATATATATATATATATATATATATATATATATATATATATATATATATATATATATATATATATATATATATATATATATATATAATAAGTAAGGGTTGTATATTTATTGTTTAAATATGGTGGGTGGATAAAAAAATATACAAGCAAATTATTTATTGTCGTAAAAATAAATTATTATTTATGCATTTAATTAACAAATTACCTAATTATTCTGATCATGTTATCCCTTGTTTATTTCACTGTGAATAAATTTAAAATTATGTCAGAATGAGTTGCTACATTGTTTTTATGTTTAGAATTTTGTCAGGTCAGACAAAATGCAGAGATTCTAAATGTGTGAGGCTAACGACTTTACGTTTTTATGTCACTTAACTTAGTCGTTTATTAATCATTTAAACATTTAATTTGCGGAAACAACAATCTCAAAGTATTGTATAACCGATAACATTCTCTTTAAACGTCTCAAGACAGCCAAGCAATCAAATCAAAGCAGGTAAATACGTTAGTATCAAATTCAAAACATGTATACGAAACGGTAGATAAAAAGAACGTTAAGTCACTTGACAACAGTGGCGTAGCGAGGTCGGGTGTCACCCGGTGCGGCACTTAATGGAGTCACCCCCAGAGGCGTAGCGACCCTTCCCGGGGACTTTCAATTTTCGATTAGCACCCCCCTCTATCTTTCGATTTGCACCCCCTCCCCCTCAAACTTTTGATTTGCACCCCTCCCCCCCCCCTCAAACTTTCGATATGCACCTGTTCAAAGACTATTTAACACTCGAATTAATCACTTAATTAAGTGGAATTATCATTTTCTCTATATATTTTGCTATTATTTGCCTTGGTGTCACCCCCCCCCCCCTAAATGATGTCACCCCCCGCCCCCCCTCGCTACCCCTCTGATATATATATATATATATATATATATATATATATATATATATATATATATATATATATAAACTTGAGTGAGTGGGCAGCTTTGTCGGAGGCCCTATGTTTCGCAAGCGTCAAAAAGGGCAAATAGTGTAAAGAAAAGCAAATATCCACGTTTAAAAATAAGATGTTTTAACTTTAATGAAAACTTAAATCAAGGATAAAGGTAAGAAAACACCGGCGTCTGCACTGTTCAGCACGGTTTGTGTACAAAATCAATGCAACCAGAAAGCTTTAAAAAGTTACGGAAAACGAAAATAAATTATTCAAGTTCAGTGGTTATCTTTACTCATGATTTAGCACATAGATTTGTTTGCAATTGTTTTTATTCAGTGTGGAGTGGATGAGCGCCGGACCATAGGTAAAATTCTTACGTTTAAGTGACTGTTGATAGAGAACGCCAATAAGCTTTAAAAATATTTAATTTAAGAAATATTTTTTTCTAAAAAGCAATAAGTATAAACAAATAATAAACTGAATGTAAATAATAATAAATTAACTTCTTTGCAAATAGACAAGACGAAGACTACAATGTTTTTCTAAAAATAGATTAAAAATGGTAACGCATTCGACCTCGTCGACATATAATCTTTATTACTTGGCTTATTAAATTACTGCTTATAAATCGTAGATTAAACACTCGATTGAATACATATTTGATTAACTGAAAATATCAAAATTAGTTTAACAATGGAGGCCGGTGTGGTCGGGTAGGTTAAGCTCATGGCAGCTGAACATAAAACACCCGAGGTTGAACCCCCGGACAGATGAGGCTAGATAGCTGGGGTACCACCACTCATCTAGGAGAGACAGCTCCAAAATCAAACAACCTGCTGCCTTGTAGTTTGTTCTTGGTTGGACAAAGGCTATGGAAGCAAATCCAAAATACAAAGCAGGCTGAAATCTGAGTTAACTGCCTCTATGGCGCATACAAAGTTGGACATAATAGTAAATTGTGTTGGAAAAGAATTCTCCTCTAACATGAAAATTAAGAACGAAGGAGAAAAAATGATAATTTAACAATTAGATAGATTAAACGAAAACTAAGCAGGCGTCTATTGATTGAAAAATGAAAATCCATTATTTAATTTCCGACTTGAGTCTCAAGCCTGCAATAGAGTCCCTTTAAAAAAAAATATAAACCTAGTTGAGTAGTTGATGTTAGTGAAGTTGTATACACTTTTGTTACAGGTGTTTTCTTTTTTCATTTTCTAAAAATGTAAAAGACATTTTTTTCAGTATTTTATAACATGTATATATATATATATATATATATATATATATATATATATATATATATATATATATATATACATGTTATAAAATACTGAAATATATAATATATATATGCTTATATTTACAGCGGTTGCGTTTGTGTGTATACTGTGCTCTTTATTTTTTCAGATGTGGAAAAAGAATGAGGCAATGGATCCACACACAGTTTTGTTTTACTGTTTCGTTAATTCTCTTGTCCTTCTCTTGAAGGTAAACCACGTAAAAGGTAAGCTTATCCATTGTTATGTTTGCGTAAATTGTGTGTTCAAATGTTTCAACCTGTTTTGTGTCTTACAGTTCACAATTCTTTTACTTTACTTGTATGCCCTACTGTGTTATAGTCATATGGCTTCTTAAATTATTCCAATAAGTTATATTTTTAACAATATGCTCTACTACATTATTAACTTATGTTTTAATGTGTTGATTCATAATTAGTTCTTAATTAACCCTTAATGATCTACTGCGTTAAACGTCTTATATAGTGTTATCTTATTTACTTTCCTATATAATATTCAAATACATTAAACATTATGTTCAACATCATAAAACACAATATTATAACGGGGTATCGCATTATTTTACTATGTAATACATTAAACATTATGTTCAACATCATAAAACACAAAATTATAACGTGGTATCGCATTATTTTACTATGTAATACATTAAACATTATGTTCAACATCATAAAACACAAAATTATAACGTGGTATCGCATTATTTTACTATGTAATACATTAAACGTTATGTTCAAATCATAAAACCCTATGTTCAACATCATAAAACACCAAAATAAAACTTGGTATCCACATTATTTTACAATGTTAAATTCTAATACATTAAACCTCTATGTTCTACTGCGATTAACACTAAGTTAGCCCTTTGTTTATAAAACATAAACATTATGCTTGACTGATATAACCTCTACTGATTTATTGTCTTACCTCAACGTAAAAACTATTAATTAACCATTTGTTGATTTAGCCAATCCGTATGTGATATTATCAACATTGTATGTATTAAGTTGTTAATCATGTATAATCTACTATGTTAAATATATATTTTCGATAAATAAAGCCAAGATTTTTCTATAGATTATGAATATAAAGAAATACATTTGATTAACAACTATGCATTTCGGTATATTGGATTATTTATTTTTAATAAAAAATATAGTTCTATTGTGTTAACCCCTTACTTGCTATGACATTAACCCACTGTTTAATCTTACCTATTTTTGAAAGGCTTACAGCCTTCTGTAGGGAGACTTTTTTTAGTGTCCCTTCCCAAGATGCCGTCATATGAAGGACAGCCCAAGTTGATTTTCACTTTGTTGACGTTCGCTGACGAGCGTGTCGCGGTATGGTTGGTTTTTTTGTTTTATTGACGACATCAAGTTTACTTTACTGCAGAGGCGTAGCGACCCTTCCCACCGCCCGGGGACAAACTTTTGATTTGCACCCCCCCCCCTTCTAACTTTTGATTTACACCCTTTCAATTTGTTTTTCCAACCCATTTTGGCACCCCCCCTAAGGTCGGCGCCCGGGGAAATATGCCCCCCCGCCCCCCTCCTCACTACGCCACTGCTTTATTGAAGACATACAGTTCTGTTTCATTAACCAAATACAGTTGTATTCTATTGACGACATGCAGTTTCATTTCTTTCATATAATGTTCTATTGATGAAACACAGTTTAATTTTATTGACTAAATACATTTTTTTTATTGACAACATATAATTTAATTTCACTGACACATTGCCATTTTATTTCATTGAAAACTTGCAATTTTATTTCATAAATACGATTCATTTTTATTTCATTGATACGATGCAATTATATATCATTGACAACGTTTAATTTTATTTCATTGATTAAATTCTATTTAAGTGACAAACTAAAATGTTAACTGATGGAAATACATACAAATGAGGTAGACAGATATATTTTTATTCACGATAAGGTTAGGGTATTGATGATATGTTGTAGTATTACGCAAAGTCCGAAAATATAACTCTTACATCCTGATGTCACCTAGCTTGAAATCATTTTATTTACTTAGAACTTACGGAATGAACAGTGGGGTTGTGATTTTGCTTTTTAAACTTCCGCTATTGTTTAGAAGACTGCTGGAAAGATACAAACTCTTTTTTATTTGTTATATAAAGTTTTGATTTTGTTTCTACAAATGTAGATCTACTTCAATGTTTCTTTTTAGTTTCTCGTATACAAAGTATAGAGAAAGGACGGACGGACGGACGGACGGACGAACGAACAAACGAACAAACAAACAAACAAACAAACAAACAAACAAACAAACAAACAAACAAACAAACAAACAAACAAACAAACAAACAAAAAATACAAATAAATAAATAAATAAATAAATAAATAAATAAATAAATAAATAAATAAATAAATAAATAAATAAATAAATAAATAAATAAATAAAATAAATAAATAAATAAATAAATAAATAAATAAATAAATAAATAAATAAATAAATAAATAAATAAATAAATAAATAAATAAATAAATAAATAAATAAATAAATAAATAAATAAATAAATAAATAAATAAATAAATAAATAAATAAATAAATAAATAAATAAATAAATAAATAAATAAATAAATAAATAAATAAATAAATAAATAAATAAATAAATAAATAAATAAATAAATAAATAAATAAATAAATAAATAAATAAATAAATAAATAAATAAATAAATAAATAAATAAATAAATAAGTAAAATAAATATATGTATAAGACATTCGTGTTAGCATGTGTTGAGTATGAGAATCAACACCTGTTTTTACCTCCTCAGGTAACTATCACGACTCCCCACTATGCCATTGAAGGGACGGATCCTTTGAATACACAAGTCGCTGTATACAAGGAGGAGGCTTCTGTGTATGAGGTTGACCGCCACTATTAGTATGTAGAGTTTTAATGTAATACTTAGCGTTTGTTGAAGTTGCAACATGGGCGGTCAATAGTTAATCGTTCCTTTAAACTGAGTCATGGATGGACACTATTACTAACTAGAATTCTCTTTCATAAAGGACAGTTAATATTATAGAGTGGCTTTCATTTACATAATTATGCGGCGGCAAATATTTTTTTTTTAAATTTTCGATCAGTTTACATTTAAATCATAAACTGATAATACTTATGCGCCATTTGATCTTTTGATATTGACGGCCAGTAGTTGTATGGGTATGAACTTTTATATCATGGAGAGCTAAACTTAAGGACAAGCTTCCAAATTTATCATGGGCTGTCACTACCTGTGCGTTTTATTCAAAACTATAACAAGGACGGCAACTATGTTACACATATATAGGTGTGCGTGTGCGCGTGCGTATGTGTGTGTGCGTGTGTGTTTGTGTGTGTGAGAACTTTTATTAATGCTTTTTAAACTTCCGCTATTGTTTAGAAGACTGCTGGAAAGATACAAACTCTTTTTATTTGTTATATAATGTTTTGATTTTGTTTCTACAAATGTAGATCTACTTCAATGTTTCTTTTTAGTTTCTCGTATACAAAGTATAGAGAAAGTATTGTAAAGGTGCGAAAAAAAAGTCAATTCCACTACACATTTCCTACGTGCTTCATCCGTTTTGTTGATGGCATCGAGCCGAATTTCTCGTATAAATTTATGTTTGTCTTCCTAGTGGGTATCTAGACTAGAAATTCTCGTATAAATTTATTTTTTCTTGCGATTTTTGTTATTGCGTCTTGCCAAAGTTCTCGTATAAATTTATGTTTGTCTTGTTAGTTTGTTGATTGTGTCTAGCCAAAGTTCTCGTATAAATTTATATTTGTCTTACCAGTTTGTTGATTGTGTCTAGCCAAAGTTCTCGTATAAATTTATATTTGTCTTACCAGTTTGTTGATTGTGTCTAGCCAAAGTTCTCGTATAAATTTCTATTTGTCTTACCAGTGGGCTGATAGACGTAGAGGCGAAGTTCTCGTACAGGTTTGAAGCTCAGTTAGAGTACACGGTGTCCGCGTTTATGAAGGACGGCGACAGATCCATCGCGTCCCTTTCACTGGTGCCTGTGGTGGGCTGGGGGAGGAAATACTTTGCTTTCTCTCTAAAGTAGGTTGTTGTTTTGTTTATTAAAGATTGTTTTTTTCCTCATTTTTTTTTAATTTAAAAATGAATTTGATGATTGTTTTTATCGACATATGTTGCTTAAAAAATCTTTAAGACATGTTGATCATTTACACGAGAAATTAAATTTTGTATTGACAGCAGTAACTTTAATAAAGAAACACAATGCGGGTTTTGTTTATTGGTTTTACTTTAACGCAGTTGGTTTTTATACATTATTTTACATTTCCAGGTATAGTCATACTTTTCTTTTAATCTTTGATTCAAGTAAATTTTTTCTTCCATTTATAATAGTTTTTATTATTTACTCTTTAGCAATACATTTAATTTGCTTACGTATATATTATTCTGTGACTTTTACTCATTTTGTACGGTGAATGCCTAGTTTTAAGTACTTTTAATTGCGTCGAATTTCGTTATTTTTTGGTCCTCAATGTTATTTTATAAAATATTTTCTCATGATGAGCATTTTTGAACTATATACTAAATACATTTCCTAAACGATGTGATAGATGATATGAAATAGTTTTAAAATTGTAAAGATTTTTTTTTATTATGGGAAATAACTCAAAATAAATTTTTATTTCAATAAACAAGTCGTTTTCAGTTATCATTCCTATTCTACAGTTAAACATATCGATTTTTGACATATTGTTTACAATTAAAAACGATATAGTTTTTTTTTTTTTAGATACATGCCATCAATTCAACTCTCTACCGAATTTGGCCCCAACACTGTGAGCATAACGCTTAAAATGGGGGACCCAGCCATACTACAACCCATGATTGGCGGCGAGATGCAATTTCCCGGTACTCCGTTCACAGTAGTGTTAGCCGAGTGAGTAGAGTGCGGGGTTAGGATTTAAATTTGTAGTTGAGGTTAGTAAGGGATGTGGTTCAGTGGCGTATCGAGGTCGGGTGTCACCCGGTGCGGCACTAAATGGTGTAAACCCCCCCCCCTCCAGAGACGTAGCGACCCTTCCCGGGGACAAACTTTCAATTTTCGATTTTCCACCCACCCCCCGCCCCTCATACTTTTGATTTGCACCCTCCTCCCCTCAAACTTTTGATTTGCACCCCCCCCCCATCAAATTTGTCTCTATATATTTTGCTATTTTTTGCCTTGGTGTCACCACCCTAAATGGTGTCACCCGGTGCGGTCCGCACCCCCTCCCCCTATACGTCTCTGGTGTGGTTGGTTTTTGGCTAGTGGGTGGTCTAAATTAGGGATGGGTTTGTTTTGATAGTGATGTGAGATTGTTCTACTTAAAGGATGGGTATGTTTTGGCTGTGGTGGTTTGACGGTCGAATGAAGCGTGTTGGTCAACACCAACTATCCAAGGTCAATAATCCAACGCACTTAACATTATGCTGTTCGTGCGGACCTCAATAGACATCAAGAAATATTCATTTTAACCTATTTTCTGAAATATATCCTAACGTGTTGTTTTTTTGGTTTTAATTATGTCACGGCCTTTTCTGCTGCCAATCATGACACAAACTCAAAAAAAAAAAAAAAAAAATACCAACCGCTCTCCTCTCTCCTGCTTTGTTATTACATATTATAGTCTGATTTATAACATTAAACAACCCACGTTCAGGAAATTTTCATGATTTTATTGGTTCATTGATACAACGACTTCACTGCCAAAACATCGCCATTTTCTTCCCGCTCTCTACCCACTTGCTTCCTTTTTCTAGCGCATGCGCACACCCACACTATATTTTAGATTTATATCGCCTTTTTCTGAAACATACTCGAAACATGCATTCACCTTACATTTAACTGTTACAAATTATAAGACAACTACAGTACATCACACACCATTCACTGGCTAAGGATCTATTACTTAATCGCCATTCAAGCTGAACTGTAATTGTCAATATGGTTAAAACAAGTTAATAAAAAGTCTAGTTACTATTTAAGCGCAATTTCCTTATGTTATGCATAACAATTTTTTGTGACCGAACGAAAGGATATTTTTGAAAACTTTCTTCGGCAATATTGTTCTAAATTATGGCAGGCACCTATTTGTAAATGTTTCAAGTCGCTAAGTAGTCTGGTTGCTGAGATATGGGCCAAAAACAGCATTTTTTCGAGGTTTTTCGGCTTTCCGGGAAATCCAGTAAGGAATTCCGGAATTTTTTTCGGCCCACAATCATCCTCAGAACTTGCTTAACATATTTGCTTTGGAACTAGTCCTCGATATTGCTTCGTTGAGGAGGAGATACGACTTAAAGCTGCGGATACACATCCATTCATCCATCCAGAAATAACGAATTAATAATCGCAATCCCAGTATGGAAATTGCGCTAAAAAATACATAGTAAGATCGTAAATTTAAGCGCAAGACCTGTTCTTTACAGATGCCAATCGTATGCTATATCGGAGTGCACAACGCCAAACCGAGAAATCGGAGAAATTACAGGTCAGTGATTAATGTCTATTTCTAAAAATCTTGGAATATTAATATAACCCAGTGATGATTGTTCAATCAAATTAGCTCTATTACGAGCTATTCCTTAGTTTACAATATCTGATTTTGTGTGGCTTGTAGCAGATCTTGTAGCCAGTGGCGTAGCGAGGTCGGGTGTTGCCCGGTGCGGCAGCGGCAGTTTATGGTGTCACCCCCCAGAGGCGCAGCGACCCTTCCCGGGGACAAACTTTCTAATTTTCGATTTGCACCCCCCCTCCCCTCAAAGTTTCAATTTGCACCCCCTCAACATTTCGATTTGCAACCCCCCCCCCCCTCAAACTTTCGATTTGCGCCCCCCCCCCCCCCGTCCCCTCAAGTTTTTCTATATATATTTTGTTATTTTTGCCTTGGTTTCACCCCCCCTAAATGGTGTCACCCGGTGCGGTCCGCATCCCCGCCCCCCCCCCCCCCTCCCTACGCCTCTGCTTGTAGCATAGTGTTAGGACGCATCAATGCAGCGATTTCGTTCAAATTGTCTCGATACATTTTTTCTTCGATGACAATGCAAGAATATCTTCAATACTATCAAATATTCAAAAAAAATAAGCTAAACAACTTTTTTAGGTGCTTCACAAAATTTATTTTGTAGTTTTTTAAATTAAAACAAAACTACACTGTTCCAAATTTGGATTTTTCTTTTAATTTTCCTTACATTAAAGTCACAAAGTTTTGCTGTAAAACCATTGATTTTACTACTGATTAGCTTTCATTAGTTCTATAGTACGTCCCTGAATCTCCCCAGCTCTAATGAGTACTATAAATCACGGTAGAGAATCCAAGGCAGCTGGGCGTAGTGTTGACTACACCATCCCTTATAACAGGGGTCTCCAAACTACGGCCCGCGGGCCGGATGCGGCCCGCATGTCCTCTCATCCGGCCCGCGGCGATCTTTTTGTCCACGGAAAAAACGTTTGTTGGTGATGACTGAGGAACTTTGACTTGAAAAATCAAAGACATAGCTGGAAGAAACTAGCCCCCGAACTGAAATTTGATAGTTAATGCGGCCCTCGGTCTGAAAAGTTTGGAGACCCCTGCCTTATAACCACGCCAATAAAACTACTTTATCTTCCCCTTATATATTTGGCAAAGTTAGAAAAGATGATTAGCCTGTACTTGTGTAATGGTGAGTTTAATGGTCGTACCGTTTAACTATTGTATACTCACTGACCCCCAGGGACATATATTGAAGGGTCACTCCCCCTGGGCGTCGTGTCTGGCAGCTGCAAGTCTCCCAGTAAGACTTCACTATGTTTCGGTAAAGACGCCGTGTATGAGCACATAGGCGGAATGGACGAGGCCGTGGGTGAGTACCTAAGATTACCCTATGTGGTTAAGTGAGTAATGATAAGATTTGGCTTGATCCCTTTTTCTTTTTCTTTCTTCTTCTTCATTCTTCTTAATTTTTTTTTAGTATTAAAATAGATCTCCCCCAACACAATTAAGTATACTGTTTATGCGCCTTTGAGGCTATTGAGTCCGATTTCTTACTTTCATTAATTTATAATTTGTGAATTTGACACTATTCCCCCCCCCCCTCCTCCCCCCACCCCCCACCCCCCCCCCCCCCCCCGTGAAAGCAGGCGTCCGTGATGACAGTTTACAGACGACAATGAAAAAAATCAAGCGTAATTTCTTACCTCTCCTTAGTTGCAAATCTGTTAAAAGCTAAATTATCTGCCCCATATAATCGTCACTAATTCGACCCAGCTCTACAATTGTAAACATTACTGGTGAACCACAGCTCACCAGACTGGTGGGGGTGGGTGTTATAACTATTATTAATGCTAGTTGGTTATCTACCACCCCCATATATATATATATATATATATATATATATATATATATATATATATACATATATACGTAAAATATGAAATACAATATAAATATGCTTTAGTAAGTTCCAGATCTTGCAGAATCACTGAGACCACTCAGCATTAGTTGGTACTCATACACATTTGGAAGAAATCAATGTCTTATTCTTTAATATGTTTTTCATGTCCACCTCCAAAAGAACACCAAAAATGGATACAACGCAATGTTAACTATGCCCTTGTTCGCACAGAGATGCTTCTGCCGCAGGAATCGTGGGGCACCGAGTACGTCACGACCACCCGCCTACTCCGGAAGGCGAACAACATCGTGTACTTTGTTGCTGGGGAGGCGGCCACTACAGTTACAATCAGACATCCCGATGGCCTCTTCGACAGAATTTTGCAGAACGCTGGCGACTTTGACAATGTAAGTTTTTTGTAAGTAGTCACATGATCGAAGTGTGCGAGAGAATAAGGAACGGGGAGAGATAGGCGCGAAAAGGAGACATGGGGAAGTCTGGAGGTGAACACGATGCTTGTATGAACCAATAAAATATGAAAATTTCAGGAACAAGGCTTGACTTGTGGTTTTTTGTGTGTGTATTATATAAGGTAGGGAAAAGGCCTGTGACAGGCCCGTTGAGGGAGAAATACAACGGGCGCTAGGTTGATAGTTTGACTTTTTCTCTTAAGAATAATTTTCATTCAGAACCTAATTCAGTAAATGAAGGGTTAACCGATATCAAAACGAAAATCATCACCTCAATTTTAAAATTTAACAGGAAACGAAAAATTTCATTGGAAACAGATTTTTATCCAGAATCTGCATTTTACCCGGATTTTATCTACACGTTGTTACTGCTTATTGATACTAAATATAGTCGTATTCATACCCTTAAACCTTGGACATAAACTCAAACTAGACGAAAGTCGTATTTAGACTTTCTTTCAGGCGACTTTACGTGGGGTGTGGTTGAGGCTGCGTCAGCCTACGCCCAGAGTTTCTTCTAGGCATCTCTTCGGCAAAGCCCCCCCCCCCCCCATAACATTTTTACCGCCCCCCGAACGAAATGAAATTTATATAATTTATGTAGAAAATATATACTTTTAACAGTGTCCGCCCCCCCCCCCCCCCGAAGAAAGTCTACCGCCCCCCCCCCCCCCCCGAAAATTTCAAGTGTCTACCGTCCCCTTCAAAGAAATATAATTTATATAGGAAATGTTTTTTTTTAACCATTGTCCGCCCACTTCGCCGAAATTTTCAAGTACCCAACCCTCCTCCGGGGATGAAAAGTCTGAAAGAAACTCTGGTCGCATTTGTAGATCATACAGACTGAAGTTAGACCCCACTTCTATAATAGATACCCATTTCCTACTTTTGGCCGATAAACCTTAATCATGAAGATATTGTTCCTTTCAAATCAATATCTATCTCTTTCTTTAAAATATGTATATATATGTATGCATATATATATATATATATATATATATATATATATATATATATATATATATATATATATATATATATATATATATATATATATATATATATATATATATATATATATATATATATATATATATATATATATATATATATATATATAAATATATATATATATATATATATATATAAATATATATATATATATATATATATATATATATATATATAAAGCAAAGTGGTCAAGTGCCCGATAGGGCACTTCCCGGCGCCGCAGGCGCGTCAAATTTGGCACGATGGTGCCTTCGGGCGATAGAACACGAGGGCCGGTGACGGTTGGCCGAAAAATATACGGAGAGGGGGTCAAAACTGACCTCGACTGACCGGCGCCTTATATGGGCTATATTACGAAAAAAAATTTCCTCCGACGACCCCCCTTGATATTTTGTGAGGTGGTAGGAGAATGCCTTGGGGTGTCACAAAAAACTCGGCATATCTGGGAAAACTTCGTAAAGGGGTCAAAACTGACCAGTCGTATTTCCCTATATAATCTTTGTATTTTATGGGGAAAACAGAGGGTCATTTCAAAACGGATTTTAGGGCACTTACCTTCTTTACATCTGGCTAAGTTTTAGCATGTTTATAGGTAAATGGCTTGGCCGTAGGGCAAACATGTCGGTTTCACTCATAGCCCTCGACGAGGGCTAAAATGTGACCGCGAGTGAAATTCTCTTTATATGAGCTATATTACGAAAAAAAAATTCCTCCGACGACCCCCCTTGAAATTTTGTGAGGTGGTAGGAGAACGCCTAGGGGTGTCACAAAAAACTCGGCATATCTGGGAAAACTTCGTAAAGGGGTCAAAACTGACCAGTCGTATTTCCCTATATAATCTTTGTATTTTATGGGGAAAACAGAGGGTCATTTCAAAACGGATTTTAGGGCACTTACCTTCTTTACATCTGGCTAAGTTTTGGCATGCTTATAGGTAAATGGCTTGGCCGTAGGGCAGACATGTCGGTTTCACTCATAGCCCTCGACGAGGGCTAAAAAGTGACCGCGAGTGAAATTCTCTTTATATGAGCTCTATAACGAAAAAAAATTTCCTCCGACGACCCCCTTGAAATTTTGTGAGGTGGTAGGAGAACGCCTAGGGGTGTCACAAAAAACTCGGCATATCTGGGAAAACTTCGTAAAGGGGTCAAAACTGACCAGTCGTATTTCCCTATATAATCTTTGTATTTTATGGGAAAAACAGAGGGTCATTTCAAAACGGATTTTAGGGCACTTACCCTCTTTACATCTCGCTAATTTTCGGCATGTTTATAGGTAAATGGCTTGGCCGTACGGCTGACCTGTCAGTTTCACTCAAAGCCCTCGACGAGGGCTAAAAAGTGACCGCGAGTGAAATTCTCTTTATATGAGCTCTATAACTGAAAAAAATTTCCTCCGACGACCCCCCTTGATATTTTGTGAGGTGGTAGGAGAACGCCTGGGGGTGTCACAAAAAACTCGGCATATCTCGGAAAAATCGGGAAGTGGGTCAAAACTGACCAGTCGTATTTCCCTATATAATCTTTGTATTTTATTGGAAAAACAGAGGGTCATTTCAACGCAGGCTTTAGGGTACTTAAACTCAGTATATCTGGCTAAATTTTTGCATACTGTTAGGTCAATGGATTGACCTTTAGGGAAAACTGTCGGTTTCACTCAAAGCCCTCGACGAGGGCTAAAATGTGACCGCGAGTGAAATTCTCTTTATATGAGCTCTATTACGAAAAAAAATTTCCTCCGACGACCCCCCTTGATATTTTGTGAGGTGGTAGGAGAACGCCTTGGGGTGTCACAAAAAACTCGGCATATCTGGGAAAACTTCGTAAAGGGGTCAAAACTGACCAGTTGTATTTCCCTATATAATCTTTGTATTTTATGGGAAAAACAGAGGGTCATTTCAACGCAGACTTAAGGGTACTTAAACTCAGTATATCTGACTAATTTTTTGCATACTCTTAGTTGAATGGCTTGACCTTTAGGGAAAACTGTCGGTTTGACTCAAAGCCCTCGACGAGGGCTAAAAAGTGACTGCGAGTGAAATTCTCTTTATATGAGTTCTATAACGAAAACAAAATTCCTCCGACGACCCCCCTTTAAATTTTGTGAGGTGGTAGGAGAACACCTTGGGGTGTCACAAAAAACTCGGCATATCTGGGAAAACTTCGTAAAGGGGTCAAAACTGACCAGTTGTATTTCCCTATATAATCTTTGTATTTTATGGGAAAAACAGAGGGTCATTTCAACGCAGACTTTAGGGTACTTAAGCTCAGTATATCTGACTAATTTTTTGCATGCTCCTAGGTCAATGGATTGACCTTTAGGGAAAACTGTCGGTTACACTCAAAGCCCTCGACGAGGGCTAAAAAGTGACCGCGAGTGAAATTCTCTTTATATGAGCTCTATTACGAAAAAAAATTTCCTCCGACGACCCCCCTTGATATTTTGTGAGGTGGTAGAAGAACACCTAGGGGTGTCACAAAAAACTCGGCATATCTGGGAAAACTTCGTAAAGCGGTCAAAACTGACCAGTCGTATTTCCCTATATAATCTTTGTATTTTATGGGAAAAACAGGGTAATTTCAACACAATTTTTACGTTACTTAACCTCTGTACATCATGCTAATGTTTTGCAAACACTTCTATAGATGACTAGGCCGTATGGAAAAACTGTTGGACAGACTCAAAGCCCTCGACCAGTGCTAAAAGATGACCGCGAGTGAAATTCTCCTTATATGAGATATATATAAATAAATTGATCCCCTTAATATTATTTGAGGTCGTAGACCGACCCTGGAGGGTAACAAAAAAACTTTATTCCCGTCGGAAAAAGCCATTGTAGACGTTAAATATGTTTATATATCGTATTTTCTTATATAAGCATAGTAACTGTTTAAAAAAAAAGTAAACACAGACATACGTCATTCGGTTAATTTTCAAGGGAGGTAACCTTTTTAAATAATTATTTTTCAAATAATTGTATACTTTTTTAAACAGAAACAGAAAACGACAAAGTATAGCATTTGTTTTAGAATAAAATACGTTGCTAATTAAGTTACGTATCATAATTAAATAAAAAATTAATTTTAAAAGTCAATGTAATATAAATTGTGAGATATACTGTTCATGGAACCTCTGTAGTTCTATTTCCATTTTAGTTATAAATTGCGTACTTTCGAGTGCTTTCTCTGAAAGCGGATATTACACAACATACAACAACATCTTCTCTAAAATTAGCATTGCTGTTTAGATTTAAGAACTCCACGCCTCATCCATCACCAAACAATTAGTATTCAAATTCTCAAATGTTTTTGAAAACCTAAGCGAAGCTAGGCAGAATGCCTAGTATATATATAAAGCAAAGTGTTCAGGTGCCCGATAGGGCACTTCCCGGCGCCGCAGGCGCGTCAAATTTGGCACGATGGTGCCTTGGGGCGATAGAACACTAGGGCCGGTGACGGTTGGCCGAAAAGTCTACGGGGAAGGGGTCAAAACTGACCTCGACTGACCGGCGCCTTATATGGGCTATATTACGAAAAAAAAATTCCTCCGACGACCTCCTTGAAATTTTGTGAGGTGGTAGGAGAACGCCTAGGGGCGTCACAAAAAACTCGGCATATCTCGGAAAAATCGGGAAGTGGGTCAAAACTGACCAGTCGTATTTCCCTATATAATCTTTGTATTTTATGGGAAAAACAGAGGGTCATTTCAAAACGGACTTTAGGGCACTTACCCTCTTTACATCTCGCTAATTTTCGGCATGTTTATAGGTAAATGGCTTGGCCGTACGGCTGACCTGTCAGTTTCACTCAAAGCCCTCGACGAGGGCTAAAAAGTGACCGCGAGTGAAATTCTCTTTATATGAGCTCTATTACGGAAAAAAATTTCCTCCGACGACCCCCCTTGATATTTTGTGAGGTGGTAGGAGAATGCCTTGGGGTGTCACAAAAAACTCGGCATATCTGGGAAAACTTCGTAAAGGGGTCAAAACTGACCAGTTGTATTTCCCTATATAATCTTTGTATTTTATGGGGAAAACAGAGGGTCATTTCAAAACGGATTTTAGGGCACTTACCTTCTTTACATCTGGCTAAGTTTTGGCATGCTTATAGGTAAATGGCTTGGCCGTAAGGCAGACATGTCGGTTTCACTCAAAGCCCTCGACGAGGGCTAAAAAGTGACCGCGAGTGAAATTCTCTTTATATGAGGTATATTACGAAAAAAAATTTCCTCCGACGACCCCCCTTGAAATTTTGGGAGGTGGTAGGAGAAAGCCTGGGGGTGTTACAAAAAACTCGGCATATCTGGGAAAACTTCGTAAAGGGGTCAAAACTGACCAGTTGTATTTCCCTATATAATCTTTGTATTTTATGGGGAAAACATAGGGTCATTTCAACGCAGACTTTAGGGTACTTAAACTCAGTATATCTGTCTAATTTTTTGCATACGTTTAGGTAGATGGCTTGACCTTTAGGGAAAACTGTCGGTTTGACTCAAAGCCCTCGACGAGGGCTAAAAAGTGACCGCGAGTGAAATTCTCATTATATGAGCTATATTACGAAATAAAGTTTCCTCCGACCACCCCCCTTGATATTTTGTGAGGTGGTAGGAGAATGCCTGGGGGTGTCACAAAAAACTCGGCATATCTGGGAAAACTTCGTAAAGGGGTCAAAACTGACCAGTTGTATTTCCCTATATAATCTTTGTATTTTATGGGAAAAACAGGGTAATTTCAACACAATTTTTACGTTACTTAACCTCTGTACATCATGCTAATGTTTTGCATACACTTCCATAGATGACTAGGTCGTATGGAAAAACTGTTGGTCAGACTCAAAGCCCTCGACCAGTGCTAAAAGATGACCGCGAGTGAAATTCTCCTTATATGAGATATATATAAATAAATTGACGATCGATCCCCTTAATATTATTTGAGGTCGTAGACCGACCCTGGAGGGTAACAAAAAAACTTTATTTCCGTCGGAAAAAGCCATTGTAGTCGTTGAATATGTTTATATATCGTATTTTCTTATATAAGCATAGTAACTGTTTAAAAAAAAGTAAACACAGACATACGTCATTCGGTTAATTTTCAAGGGAGGTAACGTTTTTAAATAACTATTTTTCAAATAATTGTATACTATTTTAAACAGAAACAGAAAACGACAAAGTATAGCATTTGTTTTAGAAAAAAATAAGTTGTTAATTAAGTTACGTATCATAATCAAATAAAAAATTAATTTTAAAAGTCAATGTAATATAAATTATGAGATATACTATTCATGGAACCTCTGTAGTTCTATTTCCATTTTACTTATAAATTGCGTACTTTCAAATACTTTTTCTGAAAGCGGATGTTAAAGAACATAGAACATCTTCTCTATAATTAGCATTACTGTTTAGGTTTAAGCACTCCAGGCCTCATCCATCACCAAATAATTAGTATTCAAATTATCAAATGTTTTTGAAAACCTAAGCGAAGCTAGGCAGTATGCCTAGTATATATATATATACGTATATTCATATGGTAGACGTGATCCAGTAAATGACAAGCGGCCCAAGAAAAAATTGAACGTTGCCCATATCTATGTTACATGTTTTCAGTAAAGACAGAGGGCCGATTCCTACACCTTTCACAGATAATTTTGCAATTGCATCATACCTAAATGACAAAAGAACAAATTAAAAAGGGTTAATTAAACAAACATATATAGTATAAAAACAGAAATATACTTTCGGCCAACATTGATTTTTCCTTTGTCGCTTACTGGAATTTTTTTTCGGTGGCCCAGTCTATCACTCGTGATGGTGGTTTAAAATTTTTTACATATGTGAAAAATAAATTAACAAAATTTGAATTTTTTAGGAAACTTTTTATAAATTATGAAACAGTAGGGGCATGATAGAACTCAAATTAAAAAATACATTTTTTTCAGGTGCTATTAACATTCATTATAATTCTATTGTTGTTCATTGGAGAAACAAATAATCATTATCATTCTATCGTTCTAATCTTGACAAACTAACATTCTTTATCGTTCTATCGTTTTTATTTTGAGAGACTAACATTCATTATCGTTCTATCGTTTTCATTTTAAGAAATTGACATTCATTATCATTCTATCGTTCTTATTTGCGGAGACTGACATTCATTATCATTCTATCGTTCTTATTTGGGGAGACTGACATTCATTATCATTCTATCGTTCTTATTTGCGGAGACTGACATTCATTATCATTATATCGTTCTTATTTGCGGAGACTGACATTCATTATCATTCTATCGTTCTTATTTGGGGAGACTGACATTCATTATCATTCTATCGTGGTTTTTGTGAAAATAGATTGAAATTCATTATCATTCTATCGTTCTTATTTGGGGAGACTGACATTCCTGATGATTCTAGCGTGGTTTTTGTGAGAGTAGATTGAAATTCATTAGCATTGTATTGGGGCGACCCCCCCCCCCCCCCCCAGTGACGCCATCGACAGATGACAGTTGTTTTTGTTCATGAACAGTACGAGTCCGAACACTCCATTGTGCTGAGAAGCGAGAAACCGTTCCAAGCCTTCATTGTACAACCCTCCGCCTGCAAGGGCACGAACGACCCTGGGGCGGAAGACGACGAGCCGGCTGATGTTGCCCTCAGTATTATAATCCCGGCCGGGCTGTTTTTTTGCGGCTACCACATCTGGTAGGTCCGTCAATGTTGTATACCATTTCGGGTTATTCCGTCAATGTTGTGTAATTCTTCGGGTAAGTCCGTCATTGTTGTATACCATTTCGGGTTATTCCGTCAATGTTGTGTAATTCTTCGGGTAAGTCCGTCAATGTTGTTTCTAATTTCACGTAAGTCCGTCAATGTTATGTACCACTTCGGATTATTCCGTCAATGTTGTGTAATTCTTCGGGTAATTCAGTCAATGTTGTGTACCACTTCGGGTAAGTCCGTCAATGTTGTGTAATTCTTCGGGTAATTCCGTCAATGTTGTTTCTAGCTTCTGGTAATTCCGTCAATGTTGTGTACCACTTCGGGTAAGTCTGTCAATATTGTGTAATTCTTCGGGTAAGTCCGTCAATGTTGTGTATCACTTCGGGTAAGTCCGTCACTATTGTGAACAACTTCGGGTAAGTCCGTCAATGTTGTGTACCACTTCGGGTAAGTCCGTCACTGTTTTGTACCACTTTGGGTAAGTCCGTCAATGTTTTTTCTAGCTTCGGGTAATTCCGTTAATGTTGTGTACCACTTCGGGTAATTCCGTCAATATTGTGTACCACTTCGGGTAAGTCCCTCAATGTTTTTAGCTTCGGGTAATTCCGTCAATGTTGTGTACCACTTCGGGTAAGTCCGTCAATGTTGTGTACTACTTCGGGTAAGTGACGTCACGTTTCCTTTTTTGTCTGACTAAGAAATTAGTTTGAAGATCTGCGCTTACAATTTTAGCTGAGTACCCCAAAACACGGTAAAACATTATGAATTCATTGTTTATTGGGCTTAACGTGTAATATTTTACGATACCTTTTGCAGCATCCTTCCCGGAGAAACGATTACACTATCTCACGTCGTCGCTGTTATAGTTAGTGTCCGACACTCTGGCAAACTTCAGCTGAACAACAATGCTTTACCAACAACGTAAGACATTTATACTTTTTGTCAATGTTTTTAGAAGGGATCGTTGAAAATTAGTATATTTGCCAATGTTGTTTTTAGAGATAGTTGAAAATTATTATTTTTCCAACAATTTTTTAAGGTTAGACCAAAATTTATATTGTGGCGAATGTATTTTTTAAGATAGTTGAACATTATTATTTTGCCATTGATTTTTTTTAAGGATAGACAAAAATTTATATTTTAGCAAATGTATTTTAAAGATAGTTGAAAATTATTATTTTGGCCAATGTTTTTTTTAGGGATAGTTGAAATTATTAGATTTGCCAATGTAGGACTATTTTTTAAGATAGTTGAAATTTTTTATTTTGGTCGATGTTTTCTTGTTAGTTATAGTTAAAAATTATTATTTTAGTGAATGTTTTTTTTAAGGAATAGTTGAAAATTATTATTTTGGCCAATGTTAATCGGGGATTGTAGAAAATTAATTCTGGGTTAGCAGTGTAGCCTTCTACCGCTAAAGCACGGCGCCCCATTATTTTAAGTTAGAAATACTAAAAACCTTGTGTAAACAAACTTTTAGGATTGGTTGGACCATGGCGTCTGATGACACGGTTTGGCTGACCGGTCACTTCTCGGTCGATCCCGGGACACACCTGATCACATCGACAATGGAAGGGCTGACCTTTGGATGCTACATGGCGGGCATGAACAACTTTATGGAGTACATGCAGCCTGCGCCTAGGATCGCTTACTACATCCCCGGGGGTGGGAACATCGAACGGGTGAGATACCGGGGCATGGGGTATTTGTATATATATATATATATATATATATATATATATATATATATATATATATATATATATATATATATATATATATATATATATATCTGGTGTAGTGGGTATTTTGATGAGGTCTTCATATGAATATGTATCTCTGATGAGACAGTGGCGCATGTGATGCAATCTTTTAATTACTATACATATCTTTGAATTAGGGTCAGCGTGGTTGGGTCTGTATAGCTGATGATTGTTAAACCAAAAAGTCCCGAGTTCGAACCCCCGGGCAGATGAGGCTCTAAAGGAGAGAAAAATCCCAAATTAACTGATGCTAACGCGGCATCACTGGGTGTGTGACCTTCCAGTAAAGTTCACCGGCCAGGATTTAAGAGTTCTTATACCGTGTTTACACTTGCGACATGTATACTATACATTTCTAGGGAAAAAAACTTCGCTATAGGGCCTAAGATAATAGGGGAGCCTACTCACTTACTGCGAAGTTGTTTTTTTCTAGACGTGTATAGTATACATGTCGCAAGTGTAAACGCGGTATTAGATGAACATCAACGGCCTTGTCTTTGTGACCAAGGCGAACCACCTAGAGGGAGGCTTCAAGCTGTGGTCAGGCATGGAGGAGGATGGGAACAGTAATACGACACCTAACCTTAGACACGCCATTCAGTGGTGTCCCAACGATCCAAAAAACGGTTAAGATATAATTTAGATTTAGACACCTCTAAACTTTGCTTAACTGCTTTCCTTAGTGAATAAGATGACAGTATTGAACTTATTTTCGTTCGAAAGGGGTCGGCGTGGTCGAGGCGGTAAAGCTCATGGTTGCTAAACCGAAAAGTCTCGAGTTCGAACCCTCGGGCAGATGAGGCTCGTTAGCTGGGGACAGCCCCTCTTCTAGGAGAAATAACTCCAAAATCAAACAACTGCTGCCTTGTAGTTTGTTCGTGGTTGGACAAAGGTTATGGAAGCAAATCCAAAGAGAAAAGCAGGCTGAAATTGTAGTCAATGGCTTCAGTGGCGAATAACCTGTTAAAACGTATACTTAATTGTAATGGAGGGGATCCCTTCCAACACTAAAATTAAGAACCAAGAAGAAGAAAGAACCCTATCAAGATGAATGACTCGTTCACTACAACAACGCCCCCAACTGTCTATTACTCATTTCTTGTGTTCTATGTTATTCAATACGTCGCCTCGTACTCTCTCCTCACACAAGTTATCAAACAAATGAAACAACGGCAAATAATCTCGAACGCAATTGTCTATCATCAACACAAACTAACTCTAAAAACCCTTAATGGATTGTTTATACCTTACTCTTAGTCTTGTCATTGACGCATCTACACTATGACAAGGCAGTAGTTTCCCAGGGGGTTAAGCGTGGGGAGGGGGGTAGGTGCTAAACACATCGGATTACGCCGCTTGAAAGTGGTGAGCAAAGTTGCATCAAATCTGGCGCGGCCGCACAGAGTAGTTTAAACCTAGCGCGATGTCGTTTTGTTAAGTGCAGAAAACAGTGTACACATCTTTAAATTGAAAAAAAAACCCACGCATAAAATATATACACACGCGCGCTTATTTTTCACCTGAAGTGTAATTTTCGTGGTGAAGAAGTTTTTTTTTTGACGAATTTTAACTCACGTCCCCCACTCCTTTACACATCGTCACAAAAACCCAGAACCCTTCCCCCCAACGCCACCAATATTTTGACGTCACACCTCGGCCTACAAACCTTTTCGAAATTGCACTTGAATTTTTTTTTTAAACATCGAGTTAACATATATCCCAAAACTTACGTTATCGCCAATGTAAGATCTATCCTACATGCCGCATCTGTCCCAAACGTGAGACCTATCCCGAAATTTCACAACTATCACGAATGCTACACCTATCCCAAATGTCACAACTGACTCAATTTCAAATGTCACATTATCCCCAAATGTCACAATGGTCTCAAACCCAAATGTTAAATCTATTCCAAATGTCACGCCTATCCCAAATGTCACAACTGCCTCAAACCTGCCTCAAACCCAAATGTCACAACTTCCTTAAACTCAAACGTTACACTTATCCCAAGAGTCACATTTATCCCAACTGTCACATTTATCCTAAATGTCACACTTATCTCAAATGTCAAATTTCTCCCCAATGTCACATTTATCCCAACTGTCACATTTATCCCAACTGTCACATTATCCTAAATGTCACACCTATCTAAAAATGTCACAATTCTCCCCAATGTCAACCCGTCTCAAATGTCACATTAATCCCAAATGTCACGTTTATCTCAAATGTCACTTTTCTCCCCAATGTCAACCCGTCCCAAATGTAACATTAATCCCAAATGTCACGTTTATCTCAAATGTCACTTTTCTCCCCAATGTCAACCCGTCCCAAATGTCACATTAATCCCAAATGTCACGTTTATCTCAAATGTCACATTTATCCCCAATGTCAACCCGTCACTAATGTCACTCTTCTCACTCCTGCCCAAACAGCCAGCGCCTGTAGATGTGCAGCCGCCGCCCCAGCCACCACCGCCCCCACCTCCCCCACCTCCCCCACCACCGACGGAACCCGCCTGCGTGCCGTCTGCTACGATGACCGCTGGTGATGGTATCGATAACGATTGTGATAACGCCATCGATGAGGAGGCCAATGACCAAGTTGGTCAGTTTGAAACTGATGATGTTTGTCCTAAGGTCATTTATATGTTGAGAATAATAAGTTACCTAAACAAATAAACAAACAAAAATCAAACAAACGAACGAACAAACAAACAAAGAAACAAACAAACAAACAAACACCCAAACAAACAAGAAACAAACAAATAAACAAACAAACAAAAAAAGAAACAAACAAACAAACAAACAAACAAACAAACAAACAAACAAACAAACAAACAAACAAACAAACAAACAAACAAACAAACAAACAAACAAAAAAACAAACAAACAAACAAACAAACAAACAAACAAACAAACAAACAAACAAACAAACAAACAAACAAACAAACAAACAAACAAACAAACAAACAAACAAACAAACAAACAAACAAACAAACAAACAAACAAACAAACAAACAAACAAACAAACAAACAAACACCAAAACAAGCAAGAAACAAACAAACAAACAAACAAAGAAACAAACAAATAAACAAACAAACAAATAAACAATCAAAAAAATAAACAAACAAACAAACAAACAAACAAACAAACAAACAAATAAACAAACAAAGAAACAAACAAAGAAACAAACAAACAAACAAACAAACAAACAAACAAACAAACAAACAAACAAACAAACAAACAAACAAACAAACAAACAAACAAACAAACAAACACACACACACACATACACACATACACACATACACACATACACACATACACATATACACACATACACACACACACACATATATATATATATATATATATATATATATATATATATATATATATATATAAACAACTAGGCGTATGTATTTCTAGATAACGACAACGACGGGCAAGTCGATGAAGATCTAATATTCCCAGTCAAAAGTAAGTAAGATATTCAACACCTAAGGTAAAGCATCACAAGGTGACCCACAGAATCTGTCTCAATGGCCTCGCCTTGATGAGTTGGTCGAGCCATGAACAGATGGAGGTCTCATTAGCACGTAGACAACTAGGCGATTGGTGGTGTATTATGGGACGTGTGTATCACGTGATGTATATTTTAGATGGGGGAGATGAAAACGGTATTATACGTCAGAATATAACATATCATTACTATTTTTTTATTATATGAAAATTGATAGATTGATCTTACTCGTGCGGTTCTCTTGAACATTGGTATAATATCATCTGATTATCATTTCCCGTTCGTGCCCAAGACACATGGGGCAAGCGAAGTAGTGTTAATTTGCTTCAAGGACCTCGGCATATGAAGGGATAGTTTGGTCAGCACCATGCCCAGCACCCTTTACTTTCCGTAAAGTAAGTTAGGTACCCATCAAAACTGGGTGGACTCAGTGACTTGAACCCGGATTCGAACTCAAGCCTTTCGAGTCAGCAGCCAATCTCTCTACTATTAGGACTCACCGTCTCATACATGGACATATATTAAGTTTGAAGCCACCCCTTTCCAGTATGAATAACAACAGTTAGATACAGAATACGGGAGCCGGACGTTTTCCCGATAAAGACACTTGCCCGAATGCCGTTTGCCCGGAAGCCGTTTTCCCGAATGGACACTTGCCCGAACGCGACAAACGCCCGAAAGCCACTTGCCCGAAGGACGTTTGCCCGAAATAGATATTAAAATTATATGATAAATTATAATAACAAATAGACTTTCTTAATCAATACAGGTTTGACATTTTGATAATCAAAACAATTCTAAGCATAAAAACAAATTTTTGTTTATATTCGTTTTTAAAATTCAGGCTTTATTATTTGAAAATGGAGAAATTACTATAAAATACATAATTCTTTAATAAATGTAAGGTGATGTTGGCGGCGGTGTCTTAACATTCTTTTAATAAGTGTGTTAAACAGATTGTTTAGCCGACGTGTTGTGGTGGTTATATAGGGCTTATGGCACGGTATAGGCGGCGCGGCGTCTCGCAACATTGAACAGAGGCGCGTTTGTTTCATTTTTCTTTTTATGCTTGTGTGGTGACTATTTCACAAAAGAATGAGGCGCGGTCTAGGCAACGAATTTAAAAACTAAAGTTTATAAATAACTTTTGATCTCCATTTAATGCATTTTGTTTAGACAATGCGCTGAAGCGGTTACTTAATAAAGAAAGTGAGATTCATTTTAAAAACCTAAGATACACAAAAATTGTATATTTGTCCTGTTTCACGGGAAAAAAAATGTGTTTGTCCCTATTATATAGCAAATACAAATATAATTATAATGTCTTCTTGATAATATATATATATATATATATATATATATATATATATATATAAATATATATATATATGTATATATATATATATATATACATATATATATATATATATATATACATATATATATATATATATATATAGTGTTATTTTTATCCCATTCATTGTGCTAAGACGTATATTGGTTATCAAAATTTCAAATATAAATCGATTAAAAATAATTATTTGATAATTTATAATGCTAAACGGTCTTGGGAAATATGTCTTATACAGAATACAAAGCTTTTGTTCCATTTTTTCTGTTTATTAAAAATAAAAAATCACGTTTTTATAATCTCTATATATAATTCTCTTCTGGGAGCCGTTAGAAAACAAGCTGCAAGCGCCTCCTTGCAGTCCCCTCTCTTTCTCTCTATCACTATCACTACCACCCCCACCCCACCCCCACATTGTCTGGTGAGCTGTGGTCACGCAAATTGTTTACAAAGCTAAATGTTTACAAATCGTAGAGCCGGGTTTCTATTATGGGCAGATAGTTTAGTTCGATTTTAAACTTACAGGAGGTAACTAAGAAATAACTAAGAGGAGGCTGCTTTCACGGGGGGGGGGGGGGGGGAGGGGTTGTAGGGTCGGGGTTAGGGGAAAGAGGGGAGGATTAGTGTTTTAAAGCAAATATTTTCAGTGGCAGCATTGGTACTGTCGATTTCACAAATTATGAATTACTGAAAAGTAGAAAATAAAACAACTAAATAGCGGCGTATGATACGCTGCGGGTCGGCTCGTACTTAATAATCTTTTACTTATAGTGTTTGCGTTTTCAGGACAAAAACTTTAGTGTTATATATATATATATATATATGTATATATATATATATATATATATATATATATATATATATATATATATATATACATATATATATATATATATATATATATATATATATATATATATATATATATATATATATATATATATATATCACATCCAATGTCTATATATGTATAATTACATATATATATATATATATATATATATATATATATATATATATATATATATATATATATATATATATATATATCACATCCAATGTCTATATATGTATAATTACTTATATATATATATATATATATATATATATATATATATATATATATATATATATATATATATATATATATATATCGATATATCACATCCAATGTATATATATATATATGTATAATTACATATATATATATATATATATATATATATATATATATATATATATATATATATATATATATATATATATATATATATGTATATATATATATATATATATGTATATATATATATATATATATATGTATGTATATGTATATATATATATATATATATATATATATATATATATATATATATATATATATATATATATATATATATATATATATATATATATATATATGTATATGCTCTTTTCTACTTGTAATATTGTGAAGACTTGGGTTAATTTATGATTTTCTATCACGTATTTAGTTGATGGAAGCTGGGGTGAATGGTTATCATGGGAATGTGCACCCGATTGTACAGAGACCAGATTTTTGAGAAAAAGGTGAGACCCTGTGGAGTTGTGGAGAGCTAAGAGGTGACACACTGTGGGGGTATGGGGAGTTTAGAGGTGACACACTGTGGGGTATGAAGAGTTTAGAGGTGACACACTGTGGGGGTATGGAGAGTTTAGAGGTGACACACTGTGAGAGTATTTGACAGCGTGGCCTAGGCGCTAGTGAGCTAGGCTGCTCACCCGAAAGTCTCGAGTACGAATCCGGTTCATATTCAGTAGAACGTCCACGAGTTCTGCTGGGTACTTAACTCATGTTAGGGAAAGTAAACTGCCAAACTGCAGGTCACTAGTTTCATTTCCCTCAATGTTGATCGTATCTCTGATCCTCCAATCCAGCATTGCCCAAACCACAGGTCATAGTAGTTTGATTTCCTTTATTTGACGTTGTTTCTATGTTGATCGTATCCCTTCCACAGGTCATAGTAGTTTGATTTCCTTTATTTGACGTTGTTTCTATGTTGATCGTATCCCTTCAGGTTATGCGACAACCCAGCGCCAAAGGGCGGCGGTGCAGCTTGCGAAGGTGAAGAAATCGACTGGAAGGACGGGAACTGCTACCAAGATACGATGTGTCCAGCAAGTAAATATACGTAGGGCTAGTTTCCGGTCTAGACCAGGGGTCTCCAAACTTTTCAATCCGAGGGCCGCATTAACTATCAAATTTCAGTTCGGGGGCCAGTTGCTTCCAGGCATGTCTTTGATTTTTCTGGGAAAAGTTCCTCGGCCATCACCAACAAACGATTTTTCCTTGGACAAAAAGACCTACGCGGGCCGGATGAGAGGACTTCGCGGGCCGCATCCGGTCAGCGGGCCGTAGTTTGCAGACCCCTGTTCTAGACGGGTAACAAAACAATCATGGAAAATTCTATAGAGAAACCATTTTCCAAGCAAGCAAAATATACGTAGGATTAATTTTTGGTCTACACCGGTTAAAATAAAGCGGGAGTGGTCTCCCCTAAACTTTCTCGAATATTCGTATATAAAACAACAGGGGATGGCAAATCGGGATATAGACATGATTTTTAATCCATTTTTAATTACTTAAACTTTTTCAAATAGAATAGACTCTCGTAGAAGAAATAATTGAACACCAAAATGTGCATAATAGTGCGGGATATTATTAGTACTTTATAAAATTCAAATGCGTTTTTTGAGAAATCGGAAATAGCGTAGATTACTACTTTCGATCAAAGGAAATTACTCAAAATTTGATAGAAGGTAGAGCATTAGATCTTTTACTTACATGGGAAATTATATTTATCTTTATGAAATAGTACTCAAGTTATAGGCTTTTGAAACATTGAAAGTAGAAAAAGTTGCTTTTCCGGTTATCGGGAATCGCTCAAAAGTTGATTCGGATCTACGATTTTGATATAATACTTATAAATGAAATTTCATCAACCTAGCTACAACGGTACTAAAGTTATCGTGTTTACAGACACACATATATGCACATACACATACACACACAGACATACGGACAACATTGCAAAACTATGTTTTCCTCACTCAAGGAGGTGAAAAACGTCGAGCTGTACAAAAATCTCGAGTTTTTTTTTTTTTGCATGATTACAAGACTTTCTCTATACTCTGTATATACGAGAAAATAAAAATGATCACGGTAACTGCTATAGAGAAACGATTTGCCGAGCTAGTAAAATATACAAAGGGTTAGTTTTTGGTCTACACCGGTTGATAACTGTGCGCATATAATAATAACGATTTGTACCTATACTCGGTTATTAATTTAACTGTATCTTGCAAGTTTTCTTAATCATTAGCAGGTTTACATCATGGTGTCACCGCCCCCCCCCCCTCCCTCCACCCATATCGGGATTTGTCTACTTTGCTTGTAAAAGACTATTAAATTCACTCTAATTAATCAATTAATTAAGTGACATTATCATTTTTCTGTATATACTGGCAGACATCTTAGATTTTTTTTACAGTTTTAACATGGAAATAACTTTCTTTATTTATCATTAAAACTGATCAAAATTTTGTATAGTTATTCTGTATACATATACCAAAACAACCTGTTAAAATGGTGTCTTTTTTGCACAAATTTTTTTAAAAAAAGTGATTTTCAGAAAAAAAAATTGTTAAAAGAAAATTATTTTAAAATGTGAAAATGTAATCAATTATTATTGTTACCAACATGTATCTTTATAACCTTTTTTTGCCTTGGCGTCACCCCCCATTTAGAGGTGTGACACCAAGGCAAAAAAAAGCAAACCATATAGAGAAAAGATTGAGGGGATGGGTGCAAATCGAAAATTTGAAAGTTTGTCTCCTGGTGGTGAAACCATTAAGTGCCGCACCGGGTGACACCCGACCTCGCTACGCCACTGCCGATATATAATAATTGTCTATTTCTACTTAAGACCTTTTAACTTCTATTAATCATTATTGGATCTGGCAAAAAAAATATTTTTTTTGTATGTTTTGCATTTTTATACCTTGGTGTCAACCCCCCCCCCCTCTTAACTGGTGTCACCCGGTGAGGTCCGCACCCCCTCCCTCCGCTGCCATGGCTACGCCTCTGACAATACGTTAACTGTCCATTCTAGATTGTCCAGCGTTCAAGTGGGGTGTTAACTGTAAAGGCTCCTGCATCAACTGCCGGGAGGACTGCAACAAGTACCTCGGCAACTGCACGAGGTGCAAGGCCGGCTTCAAAACACCCAAAATCGGCTGTCTTAGAGGTGAGATCATGTATGGTGCTCCATTTAATTGCTTGTGTTTATAACACCCAAAATCGGCTGTCTTAGAGGTGAGATCATGTATGGTGCTCCATTTAATTGCTTGTGTTTATAACACCCAAAATCGGCTGTCTTAGAGGTGAGATCATGTATGGTGCTCCATTTAATTGCTTGTGTTTATAACACCCAAAATCGGCTGTCTTAGAGGTGAGATTATGTATGGTGCTCATTTAAGATGCTTGGGTGTATTGCTGTAGGCTCCTAGAAAAAAAAAATAAAAAAAAAAAACAACACTTCAAGTCAGCTGGCTAGAAAACTCTCCAGAAATATGTTTTTCATATTTTCCATAATGGTGAATGCTGAAATACCATCAAATGTAATGGTATTTCACAATACTAAACTTTGAAATTTCGAAAAATTTATATCCTATTTGAATTAGTAAAATAAAAATCAATAATTTATGATCAATATTATATACTAATTTTTATACCTAGAGAATTCCACAACGTTTTTTTTCTTCAAGATGGTCGCCTTTACCAATGCAACCTTAACTTCAGAAGAGTCCCGAATACATGATAATATTCTTCTAAAAGTACCCTAACTTAGATACACAAAAAAAAATTAAGAAGTTTTTTTTTTGTTCTGTAGCCTACAACCTTAATTATTCTAGGATTATATATTATAAATGTAAGTTGTTTGGGTTTAATTAATCTAGGATTATATATTTTAAATGTAAGTTTTTTGGGTTTAATTAATCTATGATTATCTGGTTTATATGTAAGATGTTGGCTTTACTACACTCAGGATTGGTTGTCCAAGTGTAACCATTTTTCCTCCCAAGTTTACAATCTATATTATACCGCTTACATTTTTCAAATTTATTCATCCTGTGATTCGTTTCACATTTTATATCTTACAGCCTGTGATTTTTGTTTACTATATGTAATCACATTTTCTATATTACATCTTGTGATTTTTTTATTTACTTTGTGTAATCACATTTTATATCTTACAGCCTTTGATGATTTGATTATTTTGTGTGATCACATTTTCTCTCTTATAGCCTGTTATTCATTTAACATTTTTCTATCTTACAGCCTGTGATTCGCTTGACATTTTCTGTTACAGTTTGTAAATCTTTGTTTACTTTGTATAATTTAAATTTACTATACTATATCTCATCATGTGATTTATTTAACATTTTCTATCTTACAGTCTTGCATTCGTTTTACATTTTCTACTTTACAGCTTGTGATTTTTTTGTTTACTTTGTGTAATCACATTTTCTATCTTACAGTCTGTGATTCGTTGTTTACTTTGATTAATCAACTTTTCTATCTTACAACCTGTGATTTTTTGTTTACTTTGTGTAATCACATTTTCTATCTCATAACCTGTGATTCATTTGACACTTTCAATCTTAACATCCAGTGATTCGTTGTTTACTTTGTGTAATCACAATTTCCATCTTACAGCATGCGATTCATTTGAGTTTGGTGAAGACTGCAAGGGCAGCTGTCAAGAAAAGTGTGGGGAGGACTGTGAAGATCGCATCGAGGGAAATTGTCCTGGTAGGTTTTAGGTTTGTGTCTGACCCCTGGGAAAATGTCCTGGTGGGTTGTAGGTTTGTGTCTAACACTGACCCCTGGGAAAATGTCCTAGTGGGTTGTAGGTTTTTTTCTGACCCCTGGGAAATGTCCTGGTGGGTTGTAGGTTTGTGTCTAACACTGACCCCTGTGAAAATGTCCTGGTGGGTTGTAGGTTTTTTTCTGACCCCTGGGAAATGTCCTGGTGGGTTGTAGGTTTGTGTCTAACACTGACACTTGGGAAAATGTCCTGGTGGGTTGTAGGTTTGTGTCTAGCACTGACCCCTGGGAAATGTCCTGGTGGGTTGTAGGTTTGTATCTAGGACTGACCCTTGGGAAAATTTCCTGGTGGGTTGTAGATTAGTGTGTAACACTGACCCCTGGGAAAATGTCCTGACACTGACCCCTGGGAAAATGTCCTGACATTGACCCTGGTAAAATTTCCTGGTGGGTTGTATGTTTGTCTCTGACACTGACCCCTGGGAAAATTTCCTGGGGGGGGGGGGTTGTAGGTTTGTGTCTGATTCCTGTGAAAATGTCCTGGCTAGGTTGTAGTTTTGTGTCTGACACTGACCCCTGGGAAAATGTCCAGTTACTCATATGAGCTGAGTTGACTCAAGTGCGTAACCCGAACTTGAAATCAATGTGGACCACACCATATACCAACACCACAAACATGCAAATACAATTTCCACAAAATAATACGCGAACATAATAGAGATGAAAATTTTTTTCTGCAATGAAGCACATTCGGAAAATGCGGTTTACACTGAATTATGTTTATAATATCAATAATAACTACTGCGGGTTAATTTAACGCCATATTTGCACGTTGAAACAGAAAACTAAGCCATACAACATGCCCAGATCGGGTAAATACCTAGTCCGCTTATTACTGAATGTGTAGTATTTTGCCCACCACCACTCTCTATGTGTTTAATGAATTTGCTAAAAAAGTCTTTTTAAAAATCGTAAATGGTTTTATTAAAAATATAAACATTTACACACTTGAGCACACACACACGTCTAACACATACACACAGACACACACATATGTGTGAGCCCCTCGCCATCACTTGCATGCATCTACCATCACTATGTTACATATATTTTATCCCCACCCACTCATGCATTTTCATATGTTACATAGACAGCCTCTACAACCCACACATATACTACCTTTAATTAGTAACATAGATTTTAACCTCTCCCACAATTACACACTTATATTTCCTTCAATAAGTTACATAGATTTTAACTTCACCCACAATTACACACTTATATTTCCTTCAATAAGTTAAATAGATTTTAACCTCACCCACAATTACACACTTATATTTCCTTCAATAAGTTACATAAATTTTAACTTCACCCACAATTACACACTTATATTTCCTCTAATAAGTTACATAGATTTTAACTTCACCCACAATTACACACTTATATTTCCTTCAATAAGTTAAATAGATTTTAACCTCACCCACAATTACACACTTATATTTCCTTCAATAAGTTACATAGATTTTAACTTCACCCACAATTACACATTTATATTTCCTTCAATAAGTTAAATAGATTTTAACCTCACCCACAATTACACACTTATATTTCCTCCAAAAAGTTACATAGATTTTAACCTCACCCACAATTACACACTTATATTTCCTTCAATAAGTTACATAGATTTTAACCTCACCCACAATTACACACTTATATTTCCTTCAATAAGTTAAATAGATTTTAACCTCACCCACAATTACACACTTATATTTCCTTCAATAAGTTACATAGATTTTAACTTCACCCACAATTACACACTTATATTTCCTTCAATAAGTTAAATAGATTTTAACCTCACCCACAATTACACACTTATATTTCCTTCAATAAGTTACATAGATTTTAACTTCACCCACAATTACACACTTATATTTCCTTCAATAAGTTAAATAGATTTTAACCTCACCCACAATTACACACTTATATTTCCTTCAATAAGTTACATAGATTTTAACTTCACCCACAATTACACACTTATATTTCCTCCAATAAGTTACATAGATTTTAACTTCACCCACAATTACACACTTATATTTCCTTCAATAAGTTAAATAGATTTTAACCTCACCCACAATTACACACTTATATTTCCTTCAATAAGTTACATAGATTTTAACTTCACCCACAATTACACACTTATATTTCCTCCAATAAGTTACATAGATTTTAACTTCACCCACAATTACACACTTATATTTCCTTCAATAAGTTAAATAGATTTTAACCTCACCCACAATTACACACTTATATTTCCTTCAATAAGTTACATAGATTTTAACTTCACCCACAATTACACACTTATATTTCCTTCAATAAGTTAAATAGATTTTAACCTCACCCACAATTACACACTTATATTTCCTTCAATAAGTTACATAGATTTTAACTTCACCCACAATTACACACTTATATTTCCTCCAATAAGTTACATAGATTTTAACTTCACCCACAATTACACACTTATATTTCCTTCAATAAGTTAAATAGATTTTAACCTCACCCACAATTACACACTTATATTTCCTCCAATAAGTTACATAGATTTTAACCTCACCCACAATTACACACTTATATTTCCTTCAATAAGTTACATAGATTTTAACCTCACCCACAATTACACACTTATATTTCCTTCAATAAGTTACATAGATTTTAACTTCACCCACAATTACACACTTATATTTCCTTCAATAAGTTACATAGATTTTAACCTCACCCATAATTACACACTTATATTTCCTCCAATAAGTTACATAGATTTTAACTTCACCCACAATTACACACTTATATTTCCTCCAATAAGTTACATAGATTTTAACTTCACCCACAATTACACACTTATATTTCCTCCAATAAGTTACATAGATTTAAACTTCACCCACAATTACAGGCCTATATTTCTTTCTATAAGTTACATAGATTTTAAACCAGCCACCAATACACGCATATATTATCTTTAATATGTTACATATATTGTAACCCCTGTATGGTTATATTTTTGTTTTTGAAAGTAGTGTGTAAAATAGTATATACTAGAGTATAGTCAAGATCTATTTAAATCTGTTTTAGAAACTAGTGTGTATGATAATAGATACTAGAGTATAGTCAAGATATATTATAATCTGTTTTAGAAAGTAGTGTGTAAGATAATAGATACTAGAGTAAAGTAAAGATATATTTTAATCTGTTTTAGAAAGTAGTGTGTAGGTTAGTAGATATGAGAGTATAGTCAGGATAATTATATTTGAATCTGTTTTAGAAAGTAGTGTGTAAGACCGTAGATACTTAAGTATAGTCAAGATATATTTTAATCTATTTAGAAAGTAGTGTGTAAGATAGTAGATAGTAAAGTATAATCAAGATAGGCCTATATTTTAATCTGTTTAGAAAGTAGTGTGTAAGATAGTAGATACTAAAGTATAGTCAAGATATATTTTAATTTGTTTAGAAAGTAGTGTGTAAGATAGTAGATACTAAAGCATAGTCAAGATATATTTTAATCTGTTTAGAAAGTAGTGTGTAAGATAGTAAATACTAAAGCATAGTCAAGATATATTTTAATCCGTTTAGAAAGTAGTGTGTAATTTAATAGACACCGCTAGAGTTTGGAGTAGGATATTTGAACAACTGTATATAACTAATGAAATTTATATTATTTTGGTCTTGCAAATGTATAGTTGTTGTGATTTTGCACTGTTGAAAATCTCTTACACATTCAGGCTAGAGTAACGATCGCCTATTATACATACAAACAAAATACTTTATGTTAACCTCTTCGATGTAGAGTACATACTTGTAAAGATCACACTGTTGTAAGGAATAGGGCTGGTAAGTAGGTCAACAATCAGTTCTATGCAGGTTTTATTGAGCCGTAGAACTGGTTGGCGACCTACTTACCAGCCCTATTGACTTTGATTTTTGTTGCATGTTTCAGCCACATCATTCGGCTATCTCTTCTTGTTTCTTCTGCTGATCCCAATACTCCTGGCAGCCTTCTACTTTTTACGGTGAGCAAAGCAGTGGCATAGGCAAGGGGGGGGGGGGTTAGGTGGGGTTATAACCCCTCCCATAGACCCCTATATATATATATATATATATATATATATATATATATATATATATATATATATATATATATATATGTATATATATATATATATATATGTATATATATATATATATATATATATATATATATATATATATATATATATATATATATGTATATATATGTGTGTGTGTGTGTGTACGATTTTATACATAAGGGAAAATGTTTGAACCCCTCCCATGACCATTTCCTGGCTACGCCACTGGGGCAACACGTTGATGGTATGTTACTTCATAGGGATCGGCGTGGTCGAGTCGGTAAAGCTCATGGTTGCTAAACCATGACAGTCTCGAGTTCGAACCCTCGGGCAGATAAGACTTGTTAGCTGGGGACAGCCACTCTTCTAGGAGAGACAACTCCAAAATCAAACAACTGCTGCCTTGTAGTTAGTTCTTGGTTAAACAAAGGCTATGGAAGCAAATCCAAAAAAAGAAAAGCTGGCTGAAATCGGAGTCAGTGGCCTCAATGGCGCATAACCAGTTGATACGTAGTACTTAATTGTGATGGAGGGGATCCCTTCCAACACTAAAATTAAGAACGAAAAGAAGAAGATACGGTAAGTAAAACGTTGATGGTATGTCGCTTCCTGCCCTGAGTGATGGTATGTTGCTTTCTACTGTAAGACCTTAATAGCCTGTTACTTCCTTTGATGAGAGACACAATGGCCCATTTCTACGGTGATTAATAAATATCCAATATTTACGGATTCATAATTTCACTAAAGTCAGTTAATAAAACTCTTATGAACACACGATTTAATTGATTCATTATTTTACAATTCACGCATTTAATTTATTTTTATTAACTGTGTTCATTATTTTGAATAATTAATTAAAATCGGATGAAATTAATATTTCGGTAGTTACCACATTCATGATTTCACTACTTCATGTTTTTCATTAACTCATTTAACTACTTCAATATGTTTACCCTTACAATAGTTCCAATATTTCACTCTTTCAACTATTTCACCAAACCACGATTTCACTAATCTCATTATTTCATTAATCCCACTATTTCACTAATTCTATTAATCAACTAACCCAACGAATTCATTATCTCAATAATTTACTAATTCTACTAATGCACTCATTCAACGAATTTCTTTCACGAATTCACTAATTCCATTAATTCACTAATCCCACTAATTCACTAATCCAACTATTTTATTTCTGCCCTTAATTTATTAATCCCACTAATTCACTAATCCCTTTAATTCACAAATCCAACAAAACAATTTCTCCAATTAATTCACAAATCCCACTAATTCGCTAATCCAACTAATTCATGTATCCCATTAATTTACTAATCCCACTTATTCACTAAACCAACTAATTCATTTCTCCCATTAATTTAATAATCCCATAAATTCACTTCTCCCGTAAATTCTCTAATCCTATAAATTCACTAATCCTATAAATTCACTAATCCCACTAATCTCACCAGGCCAAAGTCCAGGTGGGGGAAGGGCTATATGGGGGAGGATGTCGATGAGCCCCCCGCGGAGGATGCGATGCCCACGACTCAGGGAGACGAACCACAAGACGATGAAGAGGATGAAGTCTAGAGGGAAGACGGGGGTGGGGTGGGGTGGGGGGTGGGGGTAGGGAGAATGGATGAGGGTCGTATGATTATAGAATGAGGAGTTTGAAGATCAAGTTTAGAGGGATGAGTGGGGTGGGGGTGAGAGAATGTATGTGGGTCGTATTATAAATGAACATGTTGAGTGTGTTTGTGTGTGTGGGGGTTGTAATGTAAGTAAGATGTAGTGGTTGGATGATGGATAAGAGTAATAATGGATGTGTTGATTGAAAATTGGATAGTAACACTGCACTTGTATTTCGTTTTGATTACATTCAATATGTAACATTTACATATATTTAAATTATAATGTATTATAATGATTGTGCGTAAAAGTATAAAAAAAATGTATGTATGAATGTAAGCTCATATACATACATACATATATATATATATATATATATATATATATATATATATATATATATATATATATATATATATATATATATATATATATATATATATATATATATATATATATTTATATATATGTATATATGTTTATATATATATAATATTTGAAAACCGTACGTTTTATTTTATAACTAATTTAATACGTGCATATTTTCCCCTCTTATAACCTTATTTTTATGTTATCGTTTCACATTTCTGTATGGATGATTCAATAGGTTAAAATGTGTGATTTATATTTTTTTTACTTTTTTTTGAGTGACGTGCTTGGTAATGCATGTGAATTTTTAGGTTTATAATGATGTGATATTTGATTCCGTAAAGACAGAGCCTTTATGGATTCGTTTGTATAACCAGTAATATATTGCTGGCTTCACGCGCACAATTGCGTTTTGAACAAATATTTTTTTTTTAATAAAATGAATTTGATTGTGAAATTTTCAAAAATGTGTGTACTTTGATTTTGTTTTCAAAAAAAAAAAAAAAAAAAGAAATACGTTTCTGAATATTTAATTGACGGATTTAGTATCTACTAAAATGTTGGTGTTGATTTAAGAAATTTAGACACTACCACGCATACAAACGTGTGAAGTTTACTAGTGTTTTTTCTTCAATAATCTTACAAACAGCTAAAAAACACACGTTATTACTTTCGGTTAATTACCCGTTCATCACGTCTCTACTCAAGAATTTAGTTAGCATGTGTTAATATGTACCTCGGGTCGGCGTGGTCGAGTCGGTAAAGCTCATGGTTGCTAAACCAAAAAGTTCGAACCCTCGGGCAGATGAGGCTCGTTAGCTGGGGACAGCCACTCTACTAGGAGAGAAAACTCCAAAATCAAACAACTGCTGCCTTGTAGTGTGTTCGTGGTTGGACAAAGGCTATCGAAGCAAATCCAAATAAGAAATCGGAGTCAAGGGCTTCACTGGCGTATAACCAGTTGACACGTATAATTAATTGTGTATACTAAAAATTAAGAACGAAGAAAAAGAATTATTACCTGCTATAACTTACACGTTAATTTCCCCCTAATGTGGGTTACCCCCAAACTTGCCATTACAAACCCCCTGTCAATTACAACGGTTTAGTTACCCCGCCCCAATTCATCTACCGTCCCCCCTCCCTCCTCCGGCAAAACAGGTAAACTCTACTGCACTTGCTCAATGGACCTTCAGGTTAGGAAAGGTGATTTTACTTATTTTTTTTAACTTTACAGGCTAGTTGCCCTCCACATTACCCAGCCCCCTCTCCACCCACCCTCAACAACCTGGGACGTCCTAACTGTTACTCTCCTGAGCTTAAACACTAAGGGCAGGGTATACTTCAGACATTTTCTCTATAGCAGGTGGCAGGGGGGGGGGCGAAGCTCCCCGAAGAAAGTCTACCCTCCCCCCCCCCCCCACCAAACGAAAAGGAATTTATGTAGAAAATTTATACTTTTAATAGTTTCCGCCCCCCCCCCCCCTTTCCCGAAAATGTCAAGTCCCCCCAACCCTCCCCGGAGAAAAAAGTCTGTAAGAAACACTGGCAGGTGGAAGTTGGGCTTATAACATGTGTTAAACTATAAATTTTTGTTTGGTCTGTTTTGTCAGAGGTAGGGGAGGGGGGAAGGTGGTCTGTCTGGATCACTATGAAAGACGTGTTTAAGATAGGGAAGGGACACTACTAATTTTTAAATAAAAAAAAATACTTTTAAAAGACTAGAGTCGTCCAGATGCGTCTCGCAAGGTGGGGGGGGGGGGGGGGTATCAACCCATCTAGGAGAGAAAACTCCCAAAATCAAACAACTACTTTCTTGCATGGATAAAGGCTATGCAAGAAATAAAAAAATAAAATAAAAACAACAGCACGCTGAAATCAGGTCAACTTTGTTGGCGTATAACACTTTTCGTGTACAATTTAAATTTAATTGTCTTGGAGGGAATCCTCTCCAACACTACGATTAAGAACGAATGAGAGAAGATTAAAGAAACAAGTAAAACATAGTTTTACTGCGTTTTAGGCAAGTACCACTATTTGAACGCTATAAGTTTATTTTGCGCATGTTTATAATTTGAAGAAAAAATATTTCTTTGTATTCACACCACTTTGGATCTTGAGTAAACAAAACACGAATTTTAGTACACGGATCAAAATCCCCCATGTCAGTTTATGAACATCAAAATGTATCCGTTTGAAGTGTAAGGTCATGAACTAAATATAAACAGGTAAAGATTCCAAGAGCTAATTATGATCGATTTACTGTTAAAATCTGTAACAGTTGCTTTAATGATGCATGGTTACAATAATAATAATATATTTACCTATTTTAATACCATAAAATTATTTAAGTCTAGAATTATAATAACAATGTTTAATTTAAAGATGGCTATGGGTATTTATAGATGATTGGTCAATGGACACTAGCGATAATAATAATAGCATCGAAATTAGTCGTTAAGCCCATTTAATATTTTAAAATCATATGAGATGTTATTAAAATAAATAATGCAAAAAAAACCGGTTTGTTTTTGTCGGACTCAACAAAAATGTGGATGTATTTTAAGTTTTTAGAGATTTTAGTAACTAAACCATATTTTTGGACACCCAAAAATAATTTGTATGTTTCCATATTGTCACTTCAAATGTACATGAGATAACTAAACCATTCAGCTTTTAAAAAAATATCATTTTATTTTTTAAAAATTTCGGTAAAACTGAATACAGTAAATCGATCACGGAATATCTTTACAGCCAATCAATGCTTGTCTTTAGGCTATAATTTAGGCTTAATGAAATAAATAGAAACGTAGCTTTAAACAAAAACTAATTGTCTTCAAGTTATCTACATTTGCATTTTTTAAATAATTGATTCCTAAAAATATTGTAATTTTGGAAAAGAAAATAATTTCGCCCGCCATGAAGGCAAAATTGAAAAACAAAAACAATTTTCTTATTCTTGTCAAGAATAATGATGAAAATATTCTCGTCATCTCGGTATTGTCCATTGCACCTTTGAAAAAATTAAGCAACAAGTTAAGACAGATGTTGCCCATGGAGGAAGTATTATATAAACATGTTGGCATCACATTTGTAGCAGATGCGGCCGAAAGGGGAAGCACTCATGTCTTTGTTCGGAGTTCTCTTAGATAAGTTCGCCCCTAGTTGTCTCCAGTTAACAGTCACCAGGTAGTCATCAGAGATGGGTAGGCCGAGAGAAAATGAAACATCTCAAGCTGGGGATACGAACTCGAGACTTTCTAGTTAGCTGTCGTAAGCTCTATTATCCGCCCATCCCGTCCGTGACTAAATTATGAAGTCCGTCAATTCTTTACACCCAATAACAACATTTGAAGAAAATAATAGAACATTTTTTGAAAAGTATTAAATAAACCAAACATTAATAGCGCAGGAAAATATTGCCAAAATGTCACAAAAATATCACACAAATATCGAAATGTCACCCAAATGTCACCCAAATGTCCTAAAATGTCACCCAAATGTCACCAAAATGTCACCAAAATGTCCCAAATGTCACTAAAATAAGACCATAATGTCACCAAAATGTAAACAACATGACACCAAAACAGTGTTTCTTCCAGACTTTTTTCTCCGGGGGGGCACTTGCAATTTTCGGGGGGCGGTAAACTTTCTTCGAGGGGGCGGACACTGTTAAAAGTATATATTTTCTATATAAATTATATAAATTTCATTCCGTTCGGGGGGGGGGGCGGTAAAAAAATTTCGGGGGGGCTTTGCCCCCCCCCCCCCCCCCCCCGAAGAGATGCCTGGAAGAAACTCTGCACCAAAATGCCACCCAAACGTCATCCAAATGTCACCAAAATGCCACCAAATTGCCACCCAAGTGTCACCAAAATCTCACCAAAATCTCACGCAAATGTCACCAGGTGCTGGAAGGCGATGCCAAGACTTCTGCTGCAGAAGATCTGTACACGTGACCGCCATGGCCATCTTCAGGAGAACGACCCCGCTTGGTTTTCTCAAACTTGTTTTCCCCTTTGGTAACTACACAACAGTGGCGTCTCTAGGGGGTGGCAGGGGGCCTACATAACAGTGGCGTCTCTAGGGGGTGGGGCTACAGGGGTGGGAGATAAACGACAGGGGCGTCACTAGCGGGTTTGGAATGGCAGGGGTTATATAACAGTGGCGTCACTAAGGGAAGGGGGTTGGCAGGTAGCAGGTGGCTACATAACAGTGGCGTCTCTAGAGGGGTGGGGGCGACTACTTAACAGTGGCGTAACAAGGGGTATAGCGGGACTGTGCGGGGAGGGGTAACAACACATCAGTGGCGTCTCTAGAGGGGTGGCAAGGTAGGGGGGGGGGCTAAACAGTGGCTTCCTTAGAGGGTGTGGTGGTGGGCTTCTAAACAGCGGTGAGTTCAGCAAAGTGTGACGTGGGAGAGGTTGATTACACAACAGTGGCGTCACTGGGGTGTTGGGGGAACTGCACACCAGTGAAGTCATATAAGGGTGTAGTGGGAGTTTTTCTGAGGTGAGGGGGTGAGGAAGCTACACCACAGTGGAGTCACTAAGGGGGGGGGGGGGCGTATTCGGTAACTACACAACAGGAGA